CCAATGTGGACTCTGTTGTTTGTTCCATTGAGAGAACTGGCTTCCACCACTATTCCACAATGACTGCCCTTACGGCTGTGCTCAATGTTTTATGATCTCTGCTGCCCTACAGCCACGCACTCCTCCCCTTTGAAAGCTCCGGAAAGTATCTGACAGCTGAGTGAGCTGCTTTACTTGGGAAACAAAGAGCAAATCATTGGAATGCTTTGGTTCTGCCCTGCTCTAGATATAATGCAGGCTGCTTTAGGGGGAAGGCAGTAGAGACTGCTGCGCTGCTTTGACATTCGTCGGCACTGAGACCTCACAGAGCTATGAAGGAATCCCAAGAAATGCAGGCTTCAGCTCTGCCTTCCACAACACTACACTGTGGGATGCTTACCCACATTACTTTGCTCTTATCTGTGACAGTTTGCTAGCAATGTGGCCATGAAATGGTGATAACGGGAGGCAGAAAAATTGGTTTGACCCTTTTTCACTTTTGGTGATTATTGACATGCATTGACATGTGTGTTGACAGCATTTTTGTCGCCAAATCTTCCCAGTGTAGATATAGCCTAAGTAATAAAGCAACACAGACAGCAAACTAAGCAACAAGCCATTGACAATTTGAAAATAGGAATGGAAGTAAAACATCAGGTTATGGATATTTTAAATGAATCTTTAGGGATCCATTCTATGCAAGTGAAACAGAGTCCTGTAAAAACAGATAAAAGTTCTCCTGGTTTCAAAGTTTCACCTTGTGTGTCACCAATTCAAATTCACATTAACACATGGCTTCAGGGTTTTTAGACAGATCCATGTTTCAAAGAGCTTGCAAATAAGGCCTTCATCCTACAAAACACTTAGCATCACATCTAGTGCTTACTACTTCTGAGTACACCCATTGACTAATAAGAGCCAGAACTCTACCAGATAACAAAGATCTGGTCTTAAAGGTCTGCAATACCCATCCCCAAACAAATTCTAAAACTTATTGGAAATCGCTTGTCTGGAATTCAACTCTACTTGAAAGGCCAAACAAATAAACAAGATCCATGGTAAATTTCTTCCGGTTTTAACAATTTACCATGTATTAATTAATAACACAAGATTTAAAACAATCATTAAGATCAGAGTTTTCAGATATCTAATATACTCCATTATTTTCTTTCTTAAGCCATTAACACCTATGTAAACTTTACTTGAAATGTAATCATGCAAATGTCATGAGCTAGGCCTTTTGCTTCATTATTCATTCACTAAAGCTTGAATGCTTAGCTAGAAAAGCAGCCTAAATGCTCTACAACAGAAAAAGACCAATACAAGGCAAGCCAGATCCTGCATTAAGACCTGCTAATGCAGACTCAGTCAGCCCTCTGCTCTGCTCTGGATCTGTCTCCTTCCAAAAAAAATGAAATGTTAGTCCAGGCTTTCTAATATCTCCAGGCTGATGGCCACCTGTTAAACTCAACATGGTCAAAAGCAAGTTCTTTATCTTCTCCTCCTGATACTAGGTGAAAAATATTTTGGTCTAGAACTGTACAGGATTCACTGTTTTGTGTTTGCTTTATAAATCTAACAGTGAAAAAGAATAGGGTGCTACATTTTTCTTTTCCCCATCATATATTTCTTGGCATATTTCAGATCTTGTAATTATGTCACCAACTAATACCAACTGCTCCTCAGGAGTGGCCCGAGGCGACCTGCGGTAGCTGGCGCCCCAGGCGGAATGCGTGATCGGCGCTCCCACCTGCATGGACTGACATCATCAGGTGCCCCGGTGCCCTGTGACATCATCATCGGGCGCTCCAGGTGCCCCGTTGAAGGTGGCGCTCTAGGAGGTGGCCAAGTCTGCATATAGTCATGGGCTGCCCCTGCTCCTCCTCACTCCAGCCTCAACAAGAAAATGGAAGATGTACTTGGACTGAAATCCTTCTGAAGACAATGGAGTTTCCCAATCTCCCATGTAGCCACATGACCCCCATGTTCCAATATAACTCACCTGAAAATTTGGCAAGGCCCCATGCAGCCTGCTTTCCCTTCTGAGCCCAGGAGAAAGTCCTCGGTCTCTCCCCTGCATGGGTCTGTCTCTTGCTGCAGCCCAGATGGGAGTCAAGATGCCCCAAACAAACTCCCCATCCCTCCCTCACTTCACAGATGCCAGCACCCACTCACCCCT